TGCGTTTATCCAGCTACATACAGATACAACCTGCGCCCTCATGTTTTAAAGCCTTCAATACTGTTAGAATTGCAATACATATGGTAAATGGACTGTACTTCTATAGCGCCTTTCTAGTCTTCTGACCACTCAAAGTGCTTTTACACTACAAGCCACATTCACACAGTGATGGCAAAGCCTATCAAACAGAAACGGACTCATTCATTCCCATTTGCACACACAACATTGGGTTCAATATCTTGCTCAAGGATACTTTGACATGCGGCAGGGAAGTGCGGGGGAACGAACTGCCAACCTTCCGATTAGTGCACGACACACTCTACCTCCTGAGCCACAGCCGCCCCAAATTGATTTGGCACTGAAGCATAGTGATAGTATTGAATCATGAGATGATCATATTGTCCCAGCCTTAGCAGTTAGTCTGCACCCAATCAGCCCACTGATCGAGTCATATCATTATTCCAGACCTGATACGTCCATAAAGCAGCTGCAGTGGAATAAGAGGCAAGAAAAAAGGTCAAGAATGTTAATGACATGAATTTTGATATAAAACGATGTCCTGTGTTCAGCCGTATATTGTGTTTTATTTGTTACAGAATGTGGACACAGTAATGCACCCTGGCTCAGACATAATTACAAGGCACGGTTCATCAGTGACAGTGGATAACGAGTAGGTTACCCTCAGTCTCAAGTCTTTGCTCAGGACCTCCACCAATGCACTCTGTTGGATAGGAAACACTGTACACAGCTCTGATTATTACCCAGCCCAGGATGTCTGGTGTCCCCTGCCTCATTGTAGTACAGCAGTCATGTCTGTGGTGGAGACAGTGAATGAGCAGTTATAGCACTTTCTTACAGCAGCACCAAGCTTCCCAAAATAAAAGCTCCCTTAGGCATCGCTGCTGTGTGCTGCTGGCCCATGCCCTGTAATTGAAGCTGCAGGGTGGTAATGATGATGATGCAGAGTGGCTTGCTTGGAGCCAGACTGAAGGCTCCTCCACTGGCACTGTCCCCAACGTCTCCCATGGGCCTTGATCTGAAACAGCTGCCCTCACTTCAGCTCATCATTTCCTGTTTGTTTGTGTCTTGAAGTGGCCAATCATAGACACAGGCTTGTTTTTCGTTTTTAGAGCGATTCTCTTGCATTTTTGACAGTTTATCCGCCTTTTTTTCCCCTCCCATACTGAGCCTTTACTTGAACATAAGCCAGTCACACTTGGTCATTCATTCACTTTAATCAGATAATAATATTCAAGTTCAGTCATCCAAAAATGCTTTTCAGAGCAACAAAGGACATTTTCAAAAATGTATAATTACAGATTTTTTAATTTTTTTAATGGGTTTAAAACAATAGATCACTGTTGAAAACAATTTTCAAGAGTTACATAAAACACACAAATTAGCTATATTAATGTGGTTGGAGATGCTTGCTATGGCTTGTCGGGTCACAAGGTATGTTCAGAAAAGGGGCAAGCACACCAGAAGTGACGCATTTGGATTTCGTTTGTTATTTGTTGTTTGGAATTCTACATGTTGAAATCAAGCTGAATCCCATTACTGTCACATTTTGCTAATGCACAAGGGCGTACTCTGTCTCACTCCCAGTGCAGGCTGAGATAGGGTCCAGCCCCCTCGCCCCTGCCAGGGATAAAGCGGGCAGAGAAAATGGATGGTTGGATGGATGATTCAAATAAACAACAGGATTCAACACTAGTCTGCCATCTTTGCTGCAGATGTCTTTCCGCTGCAGAGGGAAACATTCTGCAGAAAGTGAGAGATTTCAACATTAAAGCCTCTGAAAACTTGGATGCACAAGTATTTATCTATAATATTAAATATCCACCTCTAAATGAATTAATAATCAGTTAAAGTTTGTAGAAAAAACATCCATAGTTATCATTTAAAAAGAGTCTATTCTGCGCTTCATTGGGACTGTGGGTTTGATTTGATGTTGCTCAGCTGTGATTGGTGGAGGTAATTGACATCACCTTTTTCCAGCCGAACCCCACCCACTTCAAGCAGTGAAAAAAGCACAAAAAACAAATAGCTTGTATAAGAAGCTGAATGAGAAAAAAGGTCTGTAAAAAGTGAGGTTTGAGATCATGTTGAGTGTTTGAATGTACTCATGAATGAGCTAGCACATTTTCCTAAATTGAAGACTTTTGGTTTAGATCTGTTATCATAGCAGTTTAAGACCAGCATAGCATACCAGTGACTTGCCCTCATGGTCCCGGCTAGGTTGACTGTGATCTCCTGATTACAGCTCAGTGCAGCTTTAATCAGAGCTTCCTCAGCCACAGGAACCAGGAAGAATTGGCAGATTTTTCTCCAGTGGTCTTTCCCATCTCTGAACCATGCTCCCATCCAAGACAAAATAATAGGCTTTCCTCAGCTTGTCTGTGCCCCTCCCTAAGTTTGTTGGTGCATGAGACATGGGGGCATTGTTGGCACTGCCATGGGGAGGTTTACCGAATGCATTGTAGCACTGAGATCAGCCGTGTGTAATCGTTTGATGGTTACAATGGAATAGTGATGATTTTGGAACAAAGATGTTTTGGGGAGCCCAGTTTAAGGCCGTTGCCAGCTGTGCCATGGTTACTGCTATAAAAGGTTGGCATCGGAGACTGTAGAATGGATGATTGTGATGGGAGAACTGCTCCGGCGGTGCAGACAGTTTTTTTGAACTTTCTAAGGTCAAGCTCAATCACAGCTGCATACTCCCTGTCACAGTGGAGCGCTTGTTTTTTTTCTCTCTCTCCCTCTTCTTTTTGTTTTTCTTTACTTCATTGCATTCCTCTTGAGTCTCGTAGATCAGAGTTGTGATTTTACCCGCAATTCTTCTGCTGTTGGAGAGCATGAAGATCCGCATTCAGTAGCCAGACACTTATATAACATAGGCTTGTTTTGCATTAGTGTAGATTCATATGCACATACTGTGCAGCTTCACTAGGTCTTCCTGAAAGAATCCCTAAAGCATGTATGTCTATCAGGTATATGCCCTTGAGATTGGTTCACAGCAGGAGAGGGCATGGATGTCTCTATTCTTGTACTCTGATCATATGGAGTATGTGATCTTATGAGCCTGCAGTTATTATGCTGGGTTTATCCTGGGAGGAATCACAAGGAGACGTCCCAGTGATCGTTTCTGGTAAAGGCTTCCTGGCACGCACCACTAATCTGCCCACTCGCTAAGGAAAAAGAAGAGGAAAATTGGACTCGATTGAGAACAGAGACATTGTTCAAAGAGTTGCTGAATTGGAAGCGGGTGCTGGCATTGAACACACAAATCTTTGACTCCCTCAGTGCCACTGTGTCAGCATCATGCTTCAGCATCAGCCCCAACTTGAGTCTAAGGCATGTACTGGTTCAAGGAGCGGGGTGGGGACATTTCTTCCTTGGATGGAGCCTGTGTAACACTGATGACAGCTGGTGACGGTTGAGGGAGAAAAGCTCGGTGAGCTTTATTGTGAAAGCTGTACTCTTCAGTTGTCTGTGGGCTTTTTGATTCGCAGTCTAAGTTTTCCTGGACTGTGCACAGACATAAAGTAATAGCTTTGTTTCCCCAGGAAACTAGAAGTTGTGAAACTGTTTGAGTCATTTGTTAGTTTGCATATTGCAGCAGAGCATGAGTATGCTTTCTGTTATCAGTAAGTAGTCCATATCACAGGTGGACAGGGTTAGATGTCAGACAGTGTTGTGGTGAAAAACAATTAGTTTGTTGGGATTCCTGACAGTAAAAGTGTCTGGGTTGAGTTATGTGCTGTGCAGACTTGGTCCAGGTGTGCTCAGTGTTTAGTGTGAACATGTGCCTTAGGTCAGGTTCACTAGTGGCTCACTCGTACTCTCTTTGGACATCATTAAACTTAAATAAATCAACCTTTGCCCAAAATGTTGTAACTGCTGCTGCCTTTGGCTTATGCTAAGAACAGCTCCAATAAAAAATGTCATTGGCACATCATCATGAGGCCTTGGTTTATAAGCTGCTCGTGTACAGTAGGTATATAGTGCCCTCTTCTGTCAAAGTCAAATATTCACTTAAACAAAACTTTTCGTGCTTTCTTTTCTGAATAACACTGTTGTTTGTACAGTAAGTGTTCAGTTTGACCGAATGAGGTTCTCACCACGTGGAATGTTTTCTCTCATTTCATGATGTTTACAACTGCCATGAATAATTGTGAGATTTGCCCTGCATCTGGAACCTATTGAAGTGTACGCTGGCTCTCTTTCCCATCAGACCAACACTGGAGTCAGTGCCAAACATCTGTTGCCCCATTATCTATCATCTATCAGCTGAAGGGATGAAATACAGCTCTGATATAAATGTTAATCAAGATAAAAAATGTTAATGTGGGTTGCTGTGATTGTTGAGACTGACTAGCCTGCAGTAGAGGAATGTTGGGAATGACTCATGCAGTATAAACTTTGATTGTATTTGGTGCCCTGTGCTCTCAAATAAACAATGACAAAGTGTATTTTTTTTATTCTGTACTTTAAACTTAAGAACTTCTTCAGGTTTCAGTCAAATGTTATGACGAAGAAGTGGAGAGAGAGATCATCAGTTTTCTGTACGTGGTATTTCTCCATGTGGATCTCATTTAAGCCGCTGATAAATGTCTCCTGTTTTGATCTTGACTGGATATATCCTACTGTACATGATGGTGTGTCAGACTTTGTTTTATTCCCACTTGTCATACAGTACAATCTCCCCTGATTTAGAGCTTCCTGAAACAAGGACACTACATTTGTTCAGTGCCAAAACGCTGCTAGGTGGAGCAGTAATCCAGAAATACTGCTGGTGAATGCCTGCCTCTGCACTGAACATGGCTCTTTTTGTGACTTTTTTACAGTAACATTGCGTCATGGTCTAAGCACTTGCACACTGTCTCAATAGATTCCTCAACTCTGGACTACAAAGTTGGTTTCGGCTGCTGCAGGAAGTTTGACTTTCATGCTTGCTCACTCTGTCTGGCTTTCATTGTCGCCTTTCTCTTCCTACACAGGAGTTCTCCCCTTCAGACTACAGAAGTAACTCTGTATCCAGCAGAACCCCAACACCACCAGGACGCTACTCACCTCATAGCCCCATTGATCGAGACGTACCCTTGTCCCCTCGTCGCAGGTAAAGCCCACTCAAATCGCAAACACCAATAAAATGTGTCAAAACACCATAATTCACTGCAAAAATTATATATATTACACCAGCTGCATTGGATATGCACCTCTAATCTTGCACCATTTTTTTTGCTATAAAACATAGTTGAAATGACAGATTTGTAGTAGTAGTTATTCCAATCCAAGTTATTGCTTGTGCTTGGAAAAAGGGAAAAACACAGTACACACTGTACTTTATTTATTTTACTGTCCACAAAATGCACAACATGCAGAACTACCAATAAACTTTACTCCATTTTAGTTTTATGACTGCTTGAGTAGAAAATGGCAAGCTTTTACTCTCATTATATTGAATAAAAATATATATCAAAATAAATATAAAATACAAAATGTACTTTATAGTTGTAATAGCAGTAGCTATGTCTGTAGTATCTAACAAGAGGTTGTAGAATGTAAAGCCATTCAGCGCCATCTATAGGTCAGTAGGGGTTACAAACAGATTCAGGGCTAAGAAATTCAACCTGGTCCCGAAATGCTTATAAAATTGCTTCATGCATAGTGGAAAAAGGCTATAGTAATAGTAATAATACCTTTTTTATAAAAACATTTATTTAAAGTTATGACAGAAAGGTGCTGATTCAACTGTATGTTATGTTTGAGGCTGTATTTAAATTGCTTTTTAATTGTTTTATGGAAGTGCAATCTTGACTTAGTTACAGGGTTACACCTACAATATTGTTGATTCATAAAATCACCATAAGCTTGACAAATGGAGTATTTTATTGCAGGGAGGTTGTGTTGGATTAAATGAGGTTGTAATACTTAACAGTACTACTACTACTGCTGCTGCTGTTGTTGTTGTTGTTGTTGTTGTTATTATTATTATCAACAGTATTATCCATTTTTGGAATTTATCTGGGTAGCCAGTTTCTGCTAGGAACATTCCTTTGTATATTTATAATTATAGTTTCCTCTGTTTTCAGTCCATTTCCATTTGCACTTTCAACTGCCTTTTCAGTCACACCAATGCATTCATTGAGTGTTAGTCAGCTTGTGAAAGCAGCTGACTCTTGGTGCTTAAAGCTGTTGCAGCTGCACTCTGACTCGACAGCTACAAATTAATTTTCAGCCTTTGGGAAACACTATATTGTGTCCACCACCTGCACTACAGTTTCCTTTTTCCTGCTCTGCCGCCTCTGGTGAGGTGATGTAGCTGTAATTTGACTCATTTGATAGCGTGCAGGTGCAGCCCTCTGAACATGTTTTGGATTCACTTCGACTCACCAGTGTTTTTGTCCCAGCAGAAATGAAAATCTTCTTTTAGTCTCTCACATAATCCTTTGTGTCCACTCTCAGCTGGAAAGCCTGGTGCGTGTGTTTTCACAGTGCAGGATGGTTGACTTTGGCCCCAGTCCCCCACCCCCCCGGGTAACCACGGCTAGTGATATGACATGTCTGCAACTGCAGTCATATGCAAACACCACATATTCCCCAAAAAGTCTGATTTCACTTCTCCCCCTGATTGGCCCCCAGTCTGGAGCCCCCAGCCTGCACACCAAGCCTCTCTCTGCTCCTCCCCAGCCAATCACAGACTCAGTGACACCCATTTACCCACCCCTTCATGTTGCATGGCCAATGAGTTTCAGACCAGAGGCACACCTTTCAGTCAGACTCTTGTTTTTCTGTCTCGTCTGGTTTAGATAGAGGTGTGTGTTCGGCATCTGCATGCGTGTGCTAATATTGTTTTTTTTTCTCTCGTGTGTCCTGAGTTGCTACAGCAGTGTTAGAAATACAGGGACAGTTACTGGAAAGAATAGTTGAGCTCCCTTCCTTTGTTCCATCTGTCTTTCTTTCTGAGGTGAGTCTGGTCATTTTAAGTTTTGTCATTTGGATTTCTTTTGTCACACTGACTTTGGTTTTGTAAACGAGCTTGAGTAAGTCTGAGTAATGTGGCTGGAATTTTAGCCTTGTGATCTCTGATATGTTTTGGCTACATGCATGTGCTATGACTAGATCATTATCACTGTTCATGTGTGCCAAGTCTGGGTATGGAAACCAGCCACACATTCATCTTAGATGCATATATTTAGATGTGAGAACATTTTAAAAGCAAAGTCCCCAAGTCAAACTGCTCTGAAACTGTCTCATACTTTATAAAACTGCTTCCACTGCAAATTTGTGCACTCAAATGCTTATTCAGATGCATGCCATTCCCTCTCACTTCTGTTATTTGTTTTGCTCCCATTTGACCTGGACTTTCCATTTGTTTTGAGATTGCAATTTCAGAAGGGATGGTGAGAGAAGCATAAAGGGGAAATGGACTGAGGGTGGAGCTGAGCATGTGGAGAACTTGGAGGGTGTTCTTTAGAGGTCTGTTTTCAATTTGAACCATGTTCGGTGATGCAGAGGAAAGGGTCTGAGCATTTGCTTTGGTCGCATATTTGTTGTCTTGTCTGTTTGCCATCTCCTGTTTCAGCCACGTTCATTGAGCAGGAAGTCTAAACCTAAAGCTGAAATCCAGGCAGGGACAATAAACGTATAAAAAACACATACACAGTCATGTAGCTTATAAAACCCTTAAGAAACATATGCAACACAATGAGACATTATACTATGAGAGTGGTCTGTAACTATTTGGCCAGTAACACGGTCTTGAAGGTTCTGTCTTTGTTCTTTTGCACATTAGAATTAAAATAAAATTACTGTGGTTGTACAGTGCTGACTTTAGGCTTTAAGGGTCTTTGAGACTCAAAGGCAGCTCTCGAAAGCACGTATCATGCATAGTCTGCCAATTTCTGGCCAAGTCCGTCACCTGACCTCAATCCAACTGAGCATGTGTTTCACAGACTGAAGGCAAAAGCCCGAAACGAGCAAGAAGTGAAGGTTGCTGCAGTACAGACCTGGCAGATCATCACCAGGGAAGATACCAAGAATTTGCTGATGTCTGTGCCATTTGACTACAAAGAGTTGGAAACCAATTATGTGGTTACCTTTATCAAGTTTACGTAATTTTGCCCAATTCCAGTAAATTGGGGGGGGATTGCGTATAAAAAACAAATTCCTCAAATTCCTACACTGTTCACCCCAAACTAAAACTTAAATTTGGCATTTTAACCTTGTTGTTTTAGTTCAGAGCCAGTGTGCAGGAGTACACGGCAAACACAACTTGTTTGATGCAAAATGTTCACTGTCCAATTATGTGCTTATACAACAACATAGCTAAATACAAGGCTGCATGGTGCAGTGATGCTAAAAGGTTTACATGTATATGTTAAATGGTCGAGGTTTAGGTCATCGTCTCTGAGCAGATTGTCCACAGCACAGATTTCAGAGTAAATATTTGGGCAGATTTGTTGCATGTGACAACAGGTGTGACAGTCAGTCAGGTTAAGTTGTCTAACAATGTTTGACAAGTTGGCTGCAGGTGGAAAGCATCAAACCACACCTAGCCCAACTAGTGTAACCGGCCAACCAGTTCCTGCTGACAGCAAACACTCACCAGCTCCCTCCAGACAAATACACTGAGACGAGAACAGACTTTGTGTCTTTGTGTTTTCTTTTTTACTCAACGATACATCTGTCAGTCCAGATTTTAATACATGTGCTTCTTAAACTGGGGTAGAGAAGGATTGGTATTCAAACACACATTAAGTATGGAAGAAGTTGTAAAAAGTAACTGCTTTTCCACCACACCAGGGGTTAAGAATTTGCTTGTAAAGTGAGCCACTGTTCTTTCTTCTAATTTCTTAATGACTTGACAGTGTATACTACCTGAAGGTGAAAGCTTCCTCTCCCCTCCTGCACCCTCCTGTGCACTGACCGTAAGGAAACACCCACAAGATGCAAAGTTAGAAGTGTTTTTTTCTTGTTGTTTTTTTGGTGGTTTGGTAGACTATTAGTACAAGGTACAAAGCTCATGTCCATTATGCCTTGTGTCAGGCATAGGACTGTACTTTATTTAGACAATCATGGTTGCTGTTTTTAAAAAAATTATTTGCCGGCTGTATGCAGCTTTTACTAACAGCCTTATGTCCTCTTTGGTTTGTCTTGAGGCTGTTTTCTGAGATAGAAACAGTACCTCTGGTAAGGGGATATGACGGGGTCCTGTTGACCATATGTGATTGAGCACTGTTTGGCCTCTTGCCTGTGGTGTGCAACCTAGACGTCAAGGTAGAAGGTCAAAGTCAAATCTTTCATAAACTTACATTTTCTAATGAATACATCACCAAGAGCTCAGCGTAGGATTTTAGTGAATGTGATAACCTATGACCGTATTTCTTCCTTCTACAGCAGTTCAAGCTCTGACTTCGCCATGCAGAAGTTCGACAGGGACTCAGAGGTGTACAAGATGATCCAGGAGAATAAGGAGTCGCGCACTGCACCTCGTCAGTCCAACACCTTTAAAATGCTGCAAGAGGTCTTGGAGGCTGATGAGAAAGGTTAGAAGCACTCTCCGTTACAAACAAATGTGCACAGTTGGAAGGAGAAAGAATCACTGCTTTTTTAGCATGCAAGCGCAATAGTATTCATAGTTGCATAAATATTCACATACATATTGTACTTTGAATTACGATCATTTAATCATCAGTCATTTTTATGTAAAATCTGTGATAAAGTTAAATGAAGTTCAGTGTGTCTGACACACATCCCTGAGAAAGATGAGGAAGTGTAGAAAATGAATGGGATATGAATGTGTTTGCATGGAGGAGCATAAGTAATTGGATTGCATCCATTTTTTGCTTTGTACTGATGGTTAATCACCATAAACTGTTAGCAGGGGCTATTCTCAGGGTGTCAAATCCAATATAATTTATATAATCTCCTATAGTTGTTTCCTGGTAGCATTTTACATTCCTCTCTGTTGTAGTGCATCTTGCAGAACAGAACAAGCGAGCGAGTATGTGTTACTGAACTGTAACTTGGACTTCCATATGGCCATCACCTGTGCAGGATATAGAGAAAAGCTCTCCTGTGTGCCGTTTATATTGCGAAAGTCATATCATGGAATGCATCTGTCCTCCTTTCCCCCCTTTGCTTTGATAAATGTCAGGGCAAATAAATCCAGAGAGCAATAACATTCTTTTATGACGTGATAATGACCAATGTGTGGAAACCCCGTTTCATGAAGCGTGTCCCATGGGTGATGAGCTAGTGATGTCGAGTGGGAAACACAAACAAGCTCCACTGACAGAGGCCTGTGAACACGAACAGTGTTGACATGATGAACAGAGAGACTCAAGCCTGTCAGAACATCCCTGTGTGCAGCTGTGTTCATGTGTGTGTTCATGTGTGTGTTCACGTGTGTGTTCAAATGTGTGTGTGTTTGACTCCAGAGGCTGCCCTGCGGTTCCCAGGAAATCTTTCATCCAACGCCCCCAAACCAACAACATCAGTAGGAGGAGTCAAAAAAACCCACACCTGTGAGAAGTGTGGAACCAGCATTCTGTAAGTCTTCTGTCACCTGCACTTACACGTTCAGTGGAATAACTTTGAGGTGTGAATAATTACAATGATAATTTGCCCTGCAGTAAAAGATGTTCCACATGTAGAGTGTGGTATTAAGTGTGCGTGCGGCAGTATGTGTACTTCTTTTTTTTTATGTCTCCAAGGTAACAACCGGTTATTAGGTTGACTGTTGCATCTAATTAATGAATGCACTGAACAAATCTCTTTAATTCATATTTAAGTGTTAATAATTGAGTTTATAACTGAGCTTTATTTTACACAACTCAATTAAAAACAAATCTGCCAGTGGGGCAGTTTTACTTTAAGTCAGTGCTTCTCAAACGGTGGGGCATAGAGCCACCACAAGTGGGGTATACATGAGATGGGGAAAAAATGGAGTGGAACAAAGTTAAATGATGATTTATGTAGGGAAAATAATTTTATATCGCTAAAATTCAACTTCTACTTTTTTATTAGTTTCTTTTTCATTATTATTAATGAATGCTAAAAAATGCGGGGAGTGGGGCATGACCTTTTTTCGACTTCTGAAGGGGGATGTGAGAGAACCAATGATGTAAGTGATATAGGTAACAGGTGATGCATTCGTTTCTATTTAAGCACGATTAAAAGTTTCAGTTTTAATCAGTATGACGTGAACATGCTAATAATTGTGCTGTGGTGTCAACGTGTTTTTCTACAGATACAAATGAAACTGATGTTTATCTGTGCTGATCTTTTGCAGCTCTCGAGCTGATTTGCATTGGAAATACATTTCACCCTTTTGTCTGGTGTCTGACTGCATTCATCTTTCCACAGCACGCTGGCTGTGCGCATCACGGACGACCACTTCCGCCACGCAGAGTGCTACACTTGCACAGATTGCGGCCTTAACCTCAGAATGAGAGGTCACTTTTGGGCTGGAGATATGATGTACTGTGAGAAGCACGCCAAAGAGAGGCACCAAGGCCTAGGTAGTTCCCCTCGAGCCACCGTGTCCCCTCGCCAATGAGTCTGCTGCCTCACACCTGCCCCGCTCTGGACGTAGAGTGCTGCTTGTCTGCCTGAAGCGCCACCTCATCTGACTCAGTTATAGACCTTGGGATGGGGTGTGGAGGTGGACACTAGTCAGCTATATGACACAGGATGTTCTTTTCTGATCAAATTTAACCATTCTTTGCAATATTATGATTCACTTTCTTGCCTTTTCTTATAATGTAAGAGAATTGGGGCTTTGTTTTCCATATGGCCCAGCCTCCACAGTCTCTTTAGATTATTCTTGGCTCTAATTATGCACAGCTGCCGTGGACTCAAGCCCACATCACATTGTACTAAGGCCAGATTTACATAACACCAACGCTTTAGACAAACTCAACAGGACTGGCTCTCTGACTCTCTGAGGATCTGGATAATCATTTGAATCTCCTGCTGACACAAAGGGACCAAAATATCACCTACACTGCATGCCATTGCCATTTTAAAGATGTACTGTACACAGACAGTGCTGTGGGTGTGGGTGTGGGTGTGTATGAGTGCATGCTTTCACATGCAGAAGTGTGGTGGCTTCTGCGTGCCTTCCCCTACATCTGTGCGTGTGACTATGTGTGTGTGCATGAGAGAGAGAGAGAGAGAGAAGGGAAGGGGGGGTAAAGTTGTTGCAGACGCGATGGAGTGTGTGAATTTTGCGCTAGAGTCGGGCCTAAAGCCTTTGAGTTTTTCTATATTTCTTTTGTAAGCAGAATCTATGAGTAGAAATAATGAAAAAAATACATATATGCTGAATTGTTTTGCTGTTTTGTTGCTTATGAGGGACTCATTCAATATACAAATATTTTTGATGTTTTTGTGATTGAACTGTATTCTATAATATAGACCATTTAAAATGCATAATGTATGCACAGGACATTTAGTGTGAAAAGAATTGATGACGATACTACACTTCCAGTTACAGCAATACTCAGAGACACACTATAATGTTTGCATTTCATGTGGCACTTAATAAAATCGCACAACCCGAAGCTTCTTCAGTGATGATGACTGTGTTGCTATAAGTGGTTAGATTTGAAATGTTTTCCTACATTATCACAGTTTCTTTACTTTTTGGGGATGTCTGCCTGGTTTTAAAGTTTTTTTTACTGACTTCACATTACACACTTACTATTATATTTATTTCTTATATTATAATCACCTTGCAGGGGTCAACGAAAGTTGTTTTTAGACTCTTTGCCAAACAGGTAAGGCAGATATTTGACTCATAATACATTTTAACTCATAATAAACAGGAAATATATAGATTAACAAAACCATTTCTAGTTGGTAATGATACTTTATGTAATAAATGACATGGATTTGTCTTTAAATTCAATAGACTTTTTTTCACAGCTAACATTTAGTTTAATCTCTGCAGTAAAACACAGATGTGCCTAATTACAATAATGATGACTCCATTCCCTACCAAACACTGTACTATGTCAGTGTTTAACTGCATATAAAACATTATTATTTATATTTTAATTCTCCATTTGGGATGAAAATGAATCCCTGATAGCAATGTTAGGAGACATGTTACATAAGAAACATGAAGAAAGGACTGTTGCCACTGTCCTACTGGTGTCTGTTTTGGCAATACTGGAGTAGAGGAACAGTGATTACCTCAGTTTCACCACACAATTGCATATAGTAACAAGGCCCATGAGACTTGGAAGATACACATCAGACCAACTACACAGATCTCTCCGATTGAGCTGTTGTCAGTCTGCTTCCTGTTCAAATTCCAGGTTCAGCGGTTACATGAAAATAATTAGTTTCGACTGTTGTACAGACACTCTTGAAACTATATGATCAACTGGCTGTAGTTAACAGCATTAATCAATGGGGAGCAGACACATCACTGTTCTAAGAGGACAGGTTTGACAAGGGTAGAGTTATGCGGCACATTGCCAGAGTGAGTTTTAAATTGGATTGCTTTTTGTTTAATGTAAAACAGCCTGGGGTTGTGTTCTGTCAGAAGGAACTAACCCTGTCTTACTTTTCATAGCCCAACTAGAATCATCCTGTGGAAAAGATCTTTTTAAACAATATTCATAGTACTCCCTCTGCTAACCAGAAGAGGGCGGTGTCACCACAGCTTCAAAAGTGTATCTGAACTTTGGACAGGCTGAAAAATGAGAGAGGAAAAATAACTCAGGAGTAGAACTACTACTGCACAGAATGTGTATCTAAACTTTGGCGAATCAATTTTTGTTTTATATAAGCATACAGCTAACAACTACATTTATTTAAGTATGGATTTCTTTATTATATGTGGATTTACCCAGTTATTACAGGATTCAGTGCTCCCTTTAATATGGATTACAAAATATTACATATGTGCTTTATACATATAGACAAGAATATACAAACATAGCATCGTAAAACCAGTGCAACAACAACATGTATACTGGATTAAATGCTACTGCCATTAGGATTACCACCACTACTGCTGTTACATCTACTGCTAATAATAATTCTTAATGGTTGACGAAGGTATTTACTGCTGAAAAATATGGCACCGCATTATGATTTGATAACCCCGTAAAATTGTGGAAGCAGTGGGTTTAATGTCCTCATAAATCCTTAATTAAAACCATCCATCCAGGAAATGCTCATGACTGCAGGACTGACTGGTGTACTGACAGAGCGGCTGAGAAAGGGTCGGCCCTCTGTGTGCTGCCGATCACACCACTAGATGTCATAGGCTGCTCAAGAAAGACTCAGCAACAGTTGAGGGCCTTATAGAGGGCCTGATATTTGCTTCCCGGCTGGAAGTTTTCTTTTGTTTATCCTTTGGCAGAAACACTGGCCTGAGCAATGCCTCAATCTGAGCAGTCACTTGGTCTGGTTCACATCTCTGATTGTGCTGAAAACCTCATTGTTTTTAGATATTTCTGCCCAAACGTGTGATTTGGAGGACAACAGGAACATGCCCAAGAGGAATCATTAGCAATCTCACGTATTGTCTGTCCTACATCCCAAAAGCTTGCATAACTTCCACCAAAATCTCCCCTAAGACATTATCTCAGCACTACTTTTTGAGCCTCCAAGCTTCTCTGCGTTCCACCTTTCCTTCCCGATGTTCTCCCCTTTCTCAATACCCCACCTGGAATGGAGTCCAGATGTGGAACAGGGAGAAGGAGAGATTGCTTGCTTGGCTATAAGGAGTGAGGGGGCTGTGGGGTGCAAAGAGAGAAAATGTTGGAACGACATTAAAGTTTGTCTGGATGCCATTAAGTACAATTTGATGTAATGTGCAGTTTGGGACGTGACATTTTAAATGGAAACTGTGCTCTCCAGATGAGAGAGATTTGGGCCTTGTGGAGATGGGGTGGGTGGGGGTGGGGGGTGGGGCGGTGTTGTACTTGAAGCCTTATTTAACAGCTTGGATAAACAGCCCTCAGTTTAGCAGGCGCCCATCCACTCCTTGTGCTTTCTTTCAATAATCATGCTGGCTTTCTGAGCCTCCTCCGGTGTACAGTATTATATACAGGAATAACAAACCCGGGGTCTACACTGTTGGTCAGAGCACAGTGCACCATTATACTGCCGGGCATACTCGCATGACTGAGGTGCCTGCAGTTTGGATATGTCAGTGAATACATGTCAAGCCCAATTGCATAAGGTCCATTTTCAAACACTCCTGGTTCACCTTCTCATATTTTGAAATGCTGTCCAGATTTGAATCGCTACAGTCTCCATCCTCCTGGGCCTCTCGTATATCAAAAAGTATTTTTAAAACAGAAATCCATGGAGTCCAGGACTGTATTTTGGGAGCTTTCTATACACACAGGCAAAAATGTGAAAAGGAGACTTTGAGGAAGTTTATGATCCTTTGTATTTTTTGGATTGTGTGCGCTTCTTTCAGGGGGAAAAATGTCATATTTAAAAAAAGTTTTTGGAATATTTTTCTCTCAGAGTATCTCTAAATCTTAGCATTTGATTTGTCCAACATGCAGTAGATCAGTTAGCCCATATATTATTTCTACTTTGACAGCAAAAACAACATGTGGTATGCACAGAACAACACTCTCACTTTCAGCTGACTTTGAATTGGGCTTCAGTTCTTGTTAATGTTCAGCCAGTTAGTTGTTAGAAGTGCAAACATGAATTTGCATTTGGAGGCAAGGTAACTTTCACGACACCGTCCACTTCCTTACTGCGGCCATCGCCACAAAAAATTTTTTTTTTGTTTTAAAGTACTTATCTATTGCAGTGTTTTATGGGTAGCTTGCTGTTGCCAATGGCCTTCAAGTGGACAGGAAAATAATTGCTTCTGAGATAGAAAAAAATGGCACTACCTCATACCATGAAGTAACCGTCTACAAAATAACAGCTCAGACTCATTTTATATTCAAGATCAAATTGTTCTGCACCTCCATAACTCTTTCTGCAGCAACACTATAGAATTAACTGAAGTGTATCTATAAAAGTCTACTTCCTCCCTTTCCCGCTGATTGAATGAACAGCCTTTGATCTGCTGAAACACACAATACACAAGAGACCTTCAGCATTCATTCATAACTTCAGTCTGCTCTCCCAATGCAGGCACACAATGAAATCAAGCTCTTCCTGTCTTCTACAACCAGGCTGGAAACGACCAATTCAAATCAAAAAGCAGCAAAACAACAGATATATGACATTGAACTCATTAATATTCCAAAAACGTATTTAATCTTTCTTTAACTCATTAATATTCCAAAAACGTATTTAATCTTTCTTTATCATCCTCTTTTATCTTCTTATTTGCCCCATAATATTTCCCTTTATGACACTGTAGGGGTTGGATGCTGTTTCCTATTGTAATTATCACCTGCAATGTATTTTTAGGCTTTACTGTAAGAATTTCTCTTAAAAGAGCCCCTAAGGATACATAATGATGATGAAATCAAGGAAATCATGTCAATATTCCTCATCATAAAATGCAAATGAAAATTAAACCCAAAATAGGAGATTATTCAGAAATAATTTTAAACCTGGAGATTTGTGTATGCAACACACATTATGTATTTTCTGTGTCATTTAGGCCAACAACAATACATAAACGATCCCACTGGACTGTGTGATGTATGATATGATGAAGATGTGTGAAGTGAGCTCAGGTGGGTTTACTCCTGGTCACGTGTGAAACCTCCTCTCTGCCTCTCTCCGGCTGGGCTGGATGCGCTAGGACCGCGGGGACCAGAGCGCAGACGCAGACGGAATGGGCGCTCTTGGGGTAGTAACTAAGTGAGTTTGAGTGTGACAGAGGCAAGCAGGCAAAACCGCTAGATTCTGGGAATTAGGCTGCACAGGAGCCGACCAAGACCAGCTCACTTCTTGTCCGAAATAATATTTTTTCCCCTCCTGTTTAAATGTGTCTGAAGTTGAGAGGAGTCTACGGAGATCTCCGGGATCGGTGAAAACAGTGAGGAAAACTTTTTTTAAGAGCAGCGAAACAACTGACAAAAGTTTTCAATATACTTTCTTTACTTCTTCATACATTTGACAGCGTGGATCTGGCTGTGATTGCTCAGTCGTGAATCTCATCAACCCCTGGATTAACTTTTAGTGTGGGAGATAACGGTAATGTGGACACTCCCAAGTGTCCTACAAGTGATGTACATTTCTTAGAGCAATTAATACGACCACCAGCGTTTTAAGACAGAATATTGCGCCTGTTTGTTGGCGTTGAGGACGTTTGGATGGACTCACACATCCCTTCAATGTATTAGCCATTTGGACCAAAGGGAGTTGTGCGCCCGCGCTGCCATGACATAACGGGACACTCTTGGCAAATCAAGGGTGCTGAATATTTCTGAAATGACCGGATGATGAGTGTTCATTGTTGAGCTGAGGACCTCCAAGTTGACCATTCATTCAAGACCTGAGAGATCATTTTTCTGAATTTTTCGGCCCCCTGAAAGCTTCATGGTGGAGATATGGGATGACTGGAGGCGGGGGTGCAGCTGAGGTGAGATCCAGCCGAAGGACAATGTTTGCGCCC